ACGTTGAAGGAAGAAAAACTTGCGTTAATGAAGCAATTTTACATAATTCAATCGAGAAAAGTACATGCTTGTTATTTAAGAATAATTTTCTTGAACGGAAAGGAAACAATACTGGATGAAACGTAACATCTTCAAATCGAAGGCTACGATTCAACTGACTCTATTGGCAAAATAATTGTGTTCTCGAAGTGACAATTATAGTACTTGAACCAAGAAGAAGATAGATCGTTGCGCGTATGCAAGACAACGAGCGCGTTAATTTGAGTACGTAAGAGTTGTGATCTGACACTTTTCTTTACGTGCGATCGTTTACTTACGCCAGTATGCCGGACAAGTGGAAAATCTCCGCGCTGAGGTATGCCAAGTACGCCATCACGAATATGAAGATCGGCTCTATCACGCGCACCTGATGAGTAAACCTGGTCACGAAGCCGGTGGCGAAGCCCCAGACTACACCTATGACCGTGCCACCGATCGCCACCACCAAAAACGAGGCTAAGCCAGCTAGTACGTCCGTGTAGATGATCCTGGAAGGGCCCATCTCGCTGTACGTCTCGAACATGTGATAGAGCACCTGCGTATTCGTATTAAATGGCCTTTTACTCGCTCGTCGCAATAACCCCTGACACTTTCCTGCGCTCGCAACAGCACGAAACTAATAAGCCGGCGGATCGTTAACGGCTGAGCCTTTTTCGCATTACCATTCTTAGCCGGCGCGACCCAATTTTCACGAGGGCGAAGCAGAACAGCTTTTTCGGACAGCCGATTAACGACATTGCAAATATTACAAACTATAAATACGTACAGGGATACTGATCTATTTGCGGGGACGTTCGGTCTCGCTACGTAACAGATAAAATTGGAACGGAATGAATGGATTTCTGGAAACCACCGACGCTATGTATATATTTCCTCTTGCCCGAGCGACACACACGCACGGATATTTTTTAAGAGTTAATTGCGCATGAATGATATTAATAACCGTCGGCGACACCGCTTCGTTAAAACGTGCGCGACGCCCGTGCTTATCAAGCGTATTTACATTGCGTCATGTTGTTTTATTCAAGCGGAGGCATTACAGATCGCAGGCGTACAGACCCGTGGGCAAATGCGATATTAATTTTTAAGCGAGGCGAAAGGTATTTGGTACTTGACTAGGGCTTATGGACAACGTGATCAATGTCGTATCGACCGCTCGCCCGAGTGCTGGTCATTTGGGGCGACGTCAAGCTTTGCTATAGCCCAGTTTCGTTTGTTTATCAGATATTCTAAAATGTGGTATGCGCGAGGGTATTAATCTACGTCAACTTCGCGGTCAATCCTGGGCGGACGGGAAAGGGGCGAGACACGAGATATCATAAAGATAAAATAATCGAGGGGACATCGTTATCGCTCTTTCGTTATCTTTCTTTGGCGTATTGTCGACTGTGCTCCGACGTTTCGCGATCATCGATGTAAAGTATAGCTCAATCGAGAGAATCAAAAGAAACGCGCCAATCTGTTGTCATCTTTACGTTTCCCTTCTTCGTGCGCGTCTCGATTCTCTAAAAATCTCTCGCCTAGGAGACACTTATTTTACTCTTTATGGCGACCAATTAAATACGTTTCGCGCATTTAACTCTTTTCCCTCTCTACGCCGGTTTCGGGTGCGGGTGCAGAAATCTCGTAGACCGAGCGGCTAGGATCGATCGGCTTTAATCTTCGTCTCTCACGTCGTATCGAAGACCCTCGGCAGTTCGCGACGAACGGACGGAGATTTCTGCCGCACGGCGTTGCTGCCTACGCAACGAACTCCTTGGCGTGCGGGATCATGTAATGTAAATAATGTAATACTCACGACAGTGACCGCGTCGTTCAATAAACTCTCTCCGAACACGACGATGTAGAGTATCTCGTTGACGTGGATCTCCTCGAAGACGGCCAGCACGGCGACGGGGTCGACGGCGCTGATTAGCGCCGAGAAGAGGAGCATGTCGAGGATGGGCGTCTCGCAGCCGAATATACCGCTCTTCCCCAACAGCCATAACGACCCACCTAGGTTGCAAAGAGCGTCTCAATTGCTGGCGCGCCCGTTCAATATCTGTTATCGTAATTCTTTTCCACGCCCGTAATTTGTCTTAATTATCGCGAATATCGCTGTTAATCCGCTTTAAATACATCTGAATAAATTGTCAGTTTATCGGGATTATTATTATCCCATCGATCCGCAAAGTCGTTGAACGTTGTGCCGCGACGCGGGGGAGAGGGAGAAAGAGAGATTAACGTCGCCAAAGATAGAAATTTGCATTATCGGATACCGACGCCCCGCCCACGTGTTATATTCATACCTGCCGAGTACTCGTCCTCCCTTTTGGCAGAAATCTTCTCGGTATCGAGCCCGCACCCCCGTGGATTCTCGACAATAACGACCCGGTTTTCAATCTGCTCCGATAGTACGTTAATTAAAATCGTACACGTAATTTCACGTTATCGATCGCCGCCGTTGTTGCGCTCGCCGCGAGTCACTTCCTACTTGGAAGTTACGTACGGTACGATTCTAGAAAAGCAAGGAGCCGCCATTCGCGCCGCGCGTTCTTACGGTTTAATTCAGTTAATCGGATATCGTTAGATCTTATCGCGGTAATTACGGCAAACGCCGTTAGAAATAATTAAATTTTAATGTAACGTTATCGCTTCCCGGCACTTTTTATTTTGCCCCCCCGCGTCTTCTTCCAAAGCCGTCGGTCGCGATTTATTCGCCGGGGATAATCGCGCCCGTCGGAAAAATTTAGATCCGCGCATTATTCCGCGTGCTCGCTTCTGTATTAATTAAAATGGTATCAAATCACGATTTCGATACTCGGCAGAATTTTGCCAGGGTCAAAAATTGTAAATGATTACGGCCGTATTGTTCCGCGTTTCTTTCCGCGGCGGCGTTGAATAAATATTAAGCAAAAATTCGTTCCCGAATCTGAATTGGAGCGATTAAAAATTTCACAAATAAACAGGTAAATGGGCTCTCCAGATTAGAAGTTACGAAGGATTTAGGCTGCGAGAGTGAAACGCGGTTATTAGCGCGTGTCAACCGAAACGCCCGGAACTCGTAATCAAGAATTTTATTTTAATAATTACATTATATTGACACGCACTAATAACCGCGTTTCACTCTCGTAATCCTAAATCCCTCGTAATTAAAAAAATTTTATGTAGAAAAGATCACGAGAGGCGGTAAATTTGTACAGCCATTCGATCTATTTTTAGTTACTCGATTTATTTATTTTATGTATTTAGGTATTTCGATTTATTTACTAATTTTTCTATTTGCCGCAAGAATAAGAACGTGCCTTTTACATTTATTCTGTATGTCGCAATCGGCACCTATACGAAACGTTTTACAGTGCTATTGACCTTGGCATGTAGTCTTGGCGTCTCTCGCGATAAGAAGTAATCGCCCGAAAATATGGCACTAACAGTCTTTTTACGTCAAGTCATCAATCCTAATCGATAATCGCGCCCGTCGTTTACTCCCGACATGTCTATCTTATCCCATTTTATAACGCGAGCATTAAATAACTCGAGCTCCGTTAAATGTCGCGTCGGTTTTGCTCTCTCGTTTTTTTTTTCCTCTCTCGGCCGCGGCGGCAATTTCGCTCGAAATCTGTGGGATCACAATCGAATTACGCATTATCATTGACGCCAGCGATTATCGCCGGGCTGACAATTGCCGCACATGTCACCAACGTCGTCGTCATCGTCGTCGTCGTCGTCGTCGTCGTGGTCGTCGTCGACGTCGCTTGCCTCGCGCATCATCCCAACGTCCGCTTCGACGCGCGCGCTATTTTCGTTCTCGAGCCGCGCGTTTCCTCCGCGTTTTCAAGCCGAACAACTGCGCTTACACCGCGAGCAGACCGCGAGCGAGAGGGAAGAATGAAAATTCCACCATCCGCGGGATGGCCGGGCTGTTTTCTTTATGCGCGATTCTCTTTATACATATGTATAACGCACGCAACAAACTTGCCTAAGTCTCCTATTAGACTTTCAGATTTTTAATTAATTTTCTCGACAACTGTTTTCATCCACGCGCATCGCACGCTCGTTTCATTCAGATTAAATTGGATTCGTCGAAAAGTCCACTCCTGCGGCAGCTTATTTGTAGAGGTGTGACATTTTGATGTTATTTTTTTGGGAGCATTTTTTGCGTTTTGTTTTTCCAGATTTTGCGTTATTTCGATGTTATTTTTGGCATCTTTTGCGTGTTGTTTTTCCGGATTTCGCATCATTTTGATAATGTTTTTGATAATGTCGTGGTCAGAGGTGGGCAGGGCTTCAATAAGACGACTTAGGCCCGGTTTCATCAACGTCGCTTAACTTTAAACTTACTGTTAGTTTAATTTGTTCTTTGTCTTTTTCCAACTGTTACTTTAGAAAGAGGCAAAGAACGAAGTAAGCTAAGTCTAAAGCTAAACAACGCTGGTGAAACCGGGCCTCGATGTTTTGATAGAACAATTTACGACATTGATTGAGGCTAAACGTATGTTAAAAAATGTAACATAAAACATAACATATTAAAATAGCATGGAACAAATTCCTGCACTGAGAAAAATTTCCATTATGTCTGGGACAATATGGGGACTCCGTGATACTAGCACAGATAGAAGGGTTGACTCTGAAGTCACATGGTGTGCTGATTTCCTAAGATCTTGCCTTATGTTTTATTCGGTTCAAACGAGTTTCGCTGAAGAAAACCCGAAGAAGGGTCGAAACGTTTGTTTCGTGTTAAAGAGAAATTCTGACTCTTGTGTGAGAACTGAGTTCTGTTCATTTTGTGGCTCATGTTGGCGCCTTCCCCTTTCTGCGTAATAAAAAATTAGATCGCAGTGAAAAAATACGGTTTCGCACTCGAGAAAACACGAGAGGCTACGTCTAGAATACCGGTCCTCAAAATAAAAAGGATTCTGCGGAAACAGTTAATCCGAAAGTTCGATGTCTTCGCGTTTTGATGCGGCGCCCAACGGCAGATGTTAGCAATTTGGTGCAGTTGTAGCGAGTACGTCAGGAGGGATCTCTTAGACTGTAGACTGAAAGTTTTATTTACCTCTTTAAATAGCGCCGTCTTAAAAAAAAATGGCTTTCAATTATTAACCGAACGCGAGATGCCGGAAATTCTATTTCAAATCGCAGTAATAAGAATAATACTCCAATTGCGGTTACCGTCTGATTTTCCCTGACGCAGGTCGTCATAACGTTACGATCGCATTTGACTTCCGTGACATTTCACGCTTGAAATCACTCTGAGAGTCTAACGGCGCGGCCTCCCGGGGCCGCGTGGGTAAGTGCTCGCGTAACTACGTACGCGGAAATCGGTTCGCGGTGGGTAAGGGCCGGAGATAAAGCCCGAGCTCGGGAAAAGCGACGAGGGCGAGCGATATTTCCGAGTCGAAAATCCGCCCGACGACGCCAGCCGGGCGTTGTCGCGCCGCGTTGTCGCCGCTTTACCAACCTATCGACATGGTGTTAAATATAGTCCCAAGGACGGCGAACAGGAGTATCGTCCCGAGATGGTCGAAGAACAGCCGATTGGGCATGAAGTAGCCGGCGTCCAGGATGATGGGCGGCAGCATGTACAAGAAGAACGTGTCGGGCGTCAGCGGCGATATGTGGACGCTGCTCGCCTGGAACAGCAGCAGGCCGACGATTATGCCGACGGCGATCAGCAGGCAGGACTCCGGGAAGATCTTGTTGAGCTTCGGCGCCATGTGGAAGCCTGGAGTCCGATCAAATCGTCTTTCAAATCGCTGATCGGCTCGACGAATCGAGAGGGGACCGAGGCCGCGGCAATTTCTACAAATTCCGACCCGCTCCTCGGCTCCCGAGCCGCGGTGAGACGCCGAGGTGGTCGGAATCGCCGAAATTACACCGGCCTCGGTCCGGGAGTTAACCGTGACCCGGGACACGCGACACGTGCGGCGTAGATTCCGACGAGAGTGCGGCAGGTGCGACGTGTCGCGTGTGCCCCGGCATTTCTTCACGCCCAGCACGTGGTCCCCTCCCGCTCGCGGAGGGTCCCGTTGGCGCGTGTCGCGCTGCATCGTGCGCGCCGCGACGCATCCAAGAACGTGTCGGATATCCCGTGCATCCCGCGCGTGGCATTTTCCCCACAGACCTCTACTGTGCAAGAGTTTCGCCATGTCTTGTTAAGTAAATGAAGTAGTGTGTGCACCGGTCTGTCACTGACAGACAAAGCCATGGCGAAGCTCTTGCCTCGCTTTTCAGCTCAAAGGTAGCAGTCTGTAATTTCCCCGTGAGAGTCTTCGCCTCGGTTGCGGATAATTCGTACAAGGTGTACATTCTCTTAGGCTAAGCTTTTCATTTTCTGGTTGACTGTTAACCAGAAGTTAGTCGATTCTCTGTCTTTTCTTAAATAATAATATAGAAAAAGACGGAGAGTCGACTAGCCTCTGGTTAAGAGTCAACTAGAAAATGAAAGACCAGGCCTTAGAGATTCCGGTCTCAATCGAATAAAATTTGGCCAAGTGCATTGGCCAACATTTAACAATATAATAACAATATTGGACCAATATTGATGCAATATTGAACCGATATTGCTAAATAGACATATTGGCTAAATAAGAAAAGGCGTCCATCTTACAATATTGAACCGATATTAGGACTACTAGATTATTTCCCAACATTGCGTCAATATATTGTGCCACTAGGGTTTTATCTTATTGTCTTATTTTATCTTTATAATGTCCCAGCAAGGCCTCGTGTCCAAACCAACGTCCAGAAATGCCCCACAAATGCCTAGCAATACCCTCAGCGGTTTACCCCTCGGCGACGAGTGAATCGAACGTTGGCCTCAAGTCACGATGGCTTATCGACTTGGAAACGAAATTCGTGACGCTGTTAAAACGCCCGGCTATCTCGTTTATCCGCGGCGACGTTCTTCATTGTTCTGCAAAGCGCAAAATTTTACGTCGCCGCCGAGACGTTCGCGAGCAAGTATATTTTATTCTTTCACTCTCTCGTGACTTTTACCGCCGCCCCTCCGTCGAACGAACAGAAATATCGGCGGCACAGTTTGTTTTTCCTCTCGTCTACCACGTCCCGCCGCGTGCTTCCTGCGTATCCACGCGTGCGTGCAACGCGAGTGAAATTGCACGGAGAGGGAGAAAAATTGCGCGTTCATCGAGTTTCGATCGTTATATCGCTCCAACGGTTATTCGGGAATCCTCGTGCTCGAGGTTCATTCGGTGCTTATCTCGCGCCGCGCGCACAGAAACGAGTCTACGTGCATCGTAAGATACCGCACTATCGAGTCTCGGAGCGCCGGAGCACCTTTCGTGCACAACTCCAAGTGCAAAATCGCGGGCTTTTCTGCCGCGCGGGCGATTTTTCAAGGAGCCTTTGCCACGTGAACGCATTACATACTACGCTGATTTACAAGAAATAAATTACAAGTCGCCAGGGGACAAATTTTTATCCGATACTTTCCCGCGCGTTAACAGCTCTTTGTCCCCCGTGCGCGTTGTTCGTTCGGGATAAATAATTAAAAACGAATTTCATTGGGACGAAAAAAAGGGGGGTAATGAGCCTTGCGTAACGCGACGAATATTGCGTTCAATGACGGGCCTGCTTTCAATGACGTTTGCCAGGCTTTGTTATGTAAGCAAATGGAAAAATATGGCGCGCGCTAATATATTCATCGAAAAGCGTCGCTATCGCGAAAATTGACGCGGCCTGATACGCACAGGCGGATAACAAAATTGCGACAGATGTTTTTCGGTTATAACAATAGACGCTAAGTGTGTTCGCGGCGTGACAATGTTCAAATAACACGTTGTCTATCGTAATGTTGGATATTATCGCATTACGTACGTTGTATTGTTTAACTGTTTCCAATTCTGTCGCGCATATTATTGCAAATTGAAAAAACGATTAATTGGAGGCACGACATGGGGGATACAATCGTTTATCTTCTGCAAAACTTGACGTTATTCTACGCTGGAAAAAAACCAAGGGTGAAACGAAACGCGTAACGGAAGAATTAACGCTCATATTTGGCCCGTTGATTTTTCATGTCCCAAGACGCTCTGAAAAGTAGACGCAAGCCCGGTTTCACCAAACGTCGCTTAACTTTAGGCTTAGCTCAATTCGTTCTTTGTCGCTTTCCAACTGTTACTCTAGAAAGAGACAAACATGAATTACACTAATAGCGAATTCGGTTGCTTGCACTAGTGCGCAATGAGTGCACACTAAGGCTTGTTTATAGTCAGTTCTTATACTTAACTTTGTCTTAAATACATGTTCAAAGAGTATTTAGTCAAAAAATGACCCGTGTAAACCGAGAGAGCATTGCGGTATACAGATCTTGCGGCATCACTGGGCATTACTGGGCATTAGTTTGGGCATTATAAAGATACAGATAAAATAAAACAAGATTAATAAGATGAAATAAGATAATAAGATAAAGTAATGCCCACTGGGCATTAGTGGGCATTGGTGTACGAGATTTTGGTCAGCGGTTTCCCCCTCGGTGTAAACGTTGTACAGACCATTTTTCTGGATAAGGAATATTGCAAGAGGTATTTAAAATGATCTTCAAATGTAAGAATTGACTGGAAACAAGGCGCGCTAGTGCAACCAATCGAATTCGCCATAAGATTAAAGTCGAGGGGAAAACCGCTGACCAAAATCTTGTACACCAATGCCCACTAATGCCCAGCGGGCACTACCTTATTTTATCTTTAGAATGCCCCAGCAC